ATCCCTGCTGGTTTTTGCAGCAGAAGTTGTGGGGTCTTACCTTCCTGGCACTGGAACCCTGGGTTGGAAAGCCTTGTGTGGAGCTGGGACTCCTCACTCCTGAGATATCCCTCTCCAATTTTTATCCTCTATATGTGGGTGTGGGACCAGCCCATTCTGTGTCTGTGCCTCTCCTACCAGTTTGGATGGATGTGGTTTCTTTAATTCTGTAGTTGTCAGACTTCCATTCACCTAGATTTCTGATGGTTCTTAGTGATAGTTGTTCTATATTTTAGTTGTAATTTTGATGTGGTTGTGCAAGGAAGCAAGCCATACCTGCCTACACTGGTTCCTTGGCTAGAAGTCCCTAACTGACATTTAATCTATATACACCATTTGACTCAAATCCTTCCAGAGATAGAAGCATAGCTGTATGATTACCGTCTGTGTACTCTGTCACATTTCAACAGTGAGATGAAAGGGTTGAAGGTGTGAATGGCTCTTTCTCCCCATCAGATTACTGTAGGAAGTCGTTATTACCTTAGTCCCCAGCCTCTAACTATAGACAAATGGTTCTCTAGGCCAGTGCATAACAATCATTTGTGAAATTTTTAATATTCAGATTCTCAGGTGCTACTCAGCCTACTGAGTCAGAAACTCTGAATGTAAGACCTAGGAACTTGCATTTTTAACAACTCTCCCAGGATTCTGAACTCTGGCTGTGTATTATATTTGGGTTTTTTATTCTCATTCTTTAACTGTTCTGCTGCCCAGACTTTTTCCTCTGGGCCCTCTTGGAACCCAGATATGTGAATACCAAATTCCTTATAAACCCTCAATGTCTTATTAAACCCGTCCTTCCAATATTTGCCCCATTGGAGACCTGGCTCTCCCTAGAGGGAAACATTTGCTCTTTGGCCCACTGAAGTGGAGGCCGTAAACTCTCATACACCCCAAGTGGTTTATACAGTGGTGAAGAGGTTGTGCTCCTGTACCTCACGGTCCCTTCTCTATTATGCTTTGTCGTCCTGTGATCTTGATTTAACATCCTCATGTCTTGGTGCCTCTGCCTCAACCTCTGAAGACTACAGGGGGCTTACAGCTTTCTTCTCTTTCCAGTTCATGTCATCTATCAATACCAATCTGCAGCTGATTTGTTTTTCTCCACTACATCATAACTTTTCAATGCCTTTCTAACCTTCCATTCCTTACCCACCCCACTACTTTCAGCTGCTGGCTCTCCTCATACTTACCTGAGAATAAGCAAGTCATCAGGTGGGAACTCCATCATTTTCATAGCACTCAAACCAAGCAGGCGTATATGCCAACTACCTTCACTGTTCTTGCCATGGGATGAATGTCCCATTAACAATCAAAAGCCACTCTTATTATCTATGTCTGGAACTCACGTTCTCTCCCTGTCTTAGGAATCGTTCCCAGTTATTCTCTTTTCTCTTTTGCATGTAACCTCTCCTCTTTATTAGATTATTTTCCTTAGCATGTAAATATGCTTTGTTATTTTCCATACTTAAAAGTACTTCCCTTTCCTAGAACTAGGTATGGTGATTTTAAAATTTGTGTGGAAAAATAAACAGGCAGAAAATGTCTAAGATAACTTTGAAAAAGGAAGAGCCATGAGGTTAAAACATACCATAAACCCTCAGCAATTAAAGCAGTGTTACTGGTTCGTAAGTAGACAGAGGCACAAATGGAAAATGATCAGAAGGTTAAAACAAAGGTAAAAATTTAGGATACAACAAAAGTGACACCAATAGGACAAAGATAAAATTTTAAATAAATGGTCTTCAGATAACAAGATTACCACCCAGAAAAGACAGTTAAATTAATACCACACACTACATGTGGGAATAACCTCTAGATACATGAAATATTTTAATGTAAAGCCCCCATAAAAGTACTGAAAGAAAATATAAACCAAATTTCTTTATGACACCAAAGAGGCTAAAGCCTTTCCAGCTTAACTCAAAATTCATAAACCAAAGAGGGAAGATAAAACTATTTGACTACATAAAGGAGGGAAGGAAAGAAAGGAAAGAAAAAAGAAGGAAGGAAGAGACAGAAAGGAGATGGAGAGAAGAAGGGGGAGAGGTAAGAGAAAAGAAAAAAATTCTGCTTGAGAAAAAAGCTACAAAGAAACGAAAAAGCGGGGGAGAGGATATCTACAACTCACATCACAGATAAGGGATAATCTCTTAAAGCTCTCTTAGAAAAAGTAGGTAACAGAAAAAAATAGACAACAGTAACAAGCACAAACAGTTCAGAGGAAATAATTCAAGTGTATAAAAATGTTCAAGTTTATTCCTAATAAGAGAAGCACATACTGAAAGTATACTTAACTTCTATTTTTCACTTATCTGATTGGCAAAATTCAAAAGTTTCACAACAGTTGGCAAGGGAATAGGGAAACAGGCCCTCATATGTCGCTGGTAGGAATGTAAAAGTTTATGACCCACAAAAGTCAGTTGAGCAATACCTATCTACATTATAAAAACATGGGCCAGCCAACTCATTTCCAGGTACTTACTCAACAGATGCACCTGGACATTTACAGAAGGAATGTTTACAAGGCCATTGATGTGGGCACTATCTGTAGTAGCACAACTTTGGAAACAATCCAAGAGTGCTTTAATAGTTGGCTGCATAAAGTGTGATGTATACATCAAAAACTACTATAAAAAATGAGAAAGCTCTCTCTCCATACACTAATGTGGAAAGCTCTTCCATATTCATTATTAAATGGAAAACTTCAGGTATAGAATAGCATTTTATATGCTTAAAATGGGCACAGAAATAAGCATATGTATTAGTATTTGCTATATCTTCATAAAGAAACAGTGAAAGTTTTTGTAAGAAGTGAATAAAATAAAAAGAGTTTATCAAGGGTGGGTGACAGGATGCAACCAAGCCTCATCAGTGGATCTTCTCATCTTGTCTCATTTAAATATTGCTTTATTTCAATCAAGATGGTTTACTTAAAATACAAATAAAATATTTACATTCTCTCTTGACTCCACAAACCCCTCAAGGTCTTTGTTTCTCTGTTCCTGTTTAATGCAACATTTCATTAGACTTACCCCCACTTCCTCACCTCTCTCTTTCACTTCTCAACATACCCGAATCTCTCTTGCTGCCTCCCACCAGTCGAACACCACTCTTGCTGACGTCCATATTGACAAACCCATGTAACTCTTCCTAGTCTTGTCTTTATAGATCAGTTGGTATATCATTCTACACCAGTGGCTGTTCCCTTGATAGGTCTGTGACACTATAGTGCTCATTTACCTCCTACTTCCCCGATCTCTTCACGTTTCCACTTCTGCCCGAACTCCAACTGCAGCTTTCCTCACACATTGGTCCTAGACTCTCTGGGCTGGACATGGGTCATCTTTCATTCTGCTACTAGGAGGTCTCCTCAAACTTCTTAACGCTAAGTATCATATTTATGTGGCAATACCAAATTTTTAACTCTAACTCAAACCACCCACTGAATCACATATTTATAACTTCATGTGTATACTTGACCATCTGTGGATATTTCAATGTTAACTGGACAAAACGGAGCTAATTCCCGCTATTCTCACCATCCAAGTACTTATTGTTTCCCAGTTACCTTCATTCCAGTAAATAAAATCACTATTCACCTAGTTGTTTAAACAGAAACCTGGGAGGTAATTCACTCCCTCCCTTTCCCTTAACTCTTTATTCAATCTATCATTAAATCTAGTCAATTACACACAGAGACTGTATCATAAATCTGTACACTTTACTTTTATCACCACTCTAATTTTATCTCTTGCCTACACCACATTATAGTGTATCAGTCAGGGTTCTCCAAAGAAACAGAATCAATTGGATATGAATTTATATCTAGGTATATATCATGTATCTATAAAGGAATTGACTCACTTTAAAGGAAATGATCATAGGGCTGGCAAGTCAGAAATCTCTAGGGCGGTCGGCAGGCTGGAAACTGAAGCAGGATTTCTGCATTGCAGTCTTGAGGCAGAATTCTTTCTCTAGGACACATGTGTTTGCTCTTAAGGTCTTTACCTGATTGGATGAGGCCCACCCACATCTCTTAATATTAACTGATTGTAAAATTAATCACATATATGAAATACATTCACACCTACACCAGTGCTTGCCCAAACAACTGCACACCACAGCCTTCCAAAGTTGACCCCAAAGCATAAAACTCACCAAAACATGTAGTTCTAACTAGTTTATTTGCCTCATTTCCCAATCTGATTCCCACATAACAGTTGGTGCCATCTTTCTAATAGTGTCTCTTCCATGATTAAACTATTTCCATTGCTTCTCGCTGCATTTGAAATCAAATCCAAACACTACCTACAGGAGCATCTTCAGGCAAAGTTTTCCCCTCTGCGTTTGCTGTGCTCAAGGCACTGGGAGCATGAGCCTCTGTTCTGTTCATCCAACACTCCAAATTCTTTCCTATACTTGGGCCTCTGCACCTACTTCTCAGGTGTGTGATACATATTTGCTAATGAATAAATAATAATTAATCCCCTCCCATGAAGGAGAGCTTATTTTGTTAAGAGAGTCATTTGTGTGGCTCCTGCTTGAAGCAAACCCTGGAGGCTGGCGCTTCTAGACTGAGATTAGCACAATGTGCTCATTACAGGCCCTTGTGCCATATTTCCAGTTAGCCACTCACAGCCCTGTCCCACTCGAAGCCCTTTCTGCCTCTGATCTTGGTGTTAAATCCTGTTATATCCTAGTCTCTTCTTTGCATGTTAATGGCTTTTACAGTTCTACTGGATTTTATTGTGAGTTTGATCCCATTTATATGTCTTAAAAATTCCTGAATTCTTTGGGCTTACCAGTTTTCCGCCCATGTAGTTTCATGGTTTTATATTTCTTCTACCATTTTAATGTGTGTTTATTAAGATAAGGGAGACAGGGGTGCATGCATTTAGTCAGTCAGTTTCCTTTGACTGGACATTTACAATTAAAAATACCACAAAAGAACCTCAAAACACGTATTAATGAAGATGATTTTATTGAATAACAGGACAGGGCACATAAAAATTAAACATTTGAGTAAGATTTAACCATGTATTCAAAACTAGAAACTTTAAGTATTAAAAAGTACATTCTTATTAAGTATCTACACATTACCCACTTACTTATTATTTAAAAGATTTGTGATTAAGGCAAATTTTTAGTTATGCACTGAATCCCCAAATAGGTAAAAAGGATAATTAACTGAAGTTTGTTATTAAAACAAATTAAAGGTCTCAGTTAAAGGAAAGCGGTTGCACAGTAAGGAAATACAGCTCATGCTGAGTGAACGTCAGTTCCTTTCCTCATCTCGCGCCGAGAGCCTCGTGCCCTGCTCTCACCTCGCCTGAGGAAGCATGTGGAAACGCCGCAGACTAAACGAACCTTAAAGTCTGATCTCACCTAGCATGATTTGATCATAAAGTTCTTTGGTCAGTGGAACATAAGCTTTTTTCAAGTTGTCCATGAAGTAAAGTGGATCAGAAATTTTCAATGGACTAAATCCTTCTTGAACCAACTGAAACTTCTTTGGTTTGAATGTCCCTGTCACTTCCATCTTCTCCTACGAAGCAATTACAGAGATTAGTGGAATGATTTAATATTATTATAATATGTAAGTTAATGCATTTGACAACACGGACTGTAATACTGAGTTATAACATTTTCATCCCCAGTGGCTGTCTCTATGCACTACTAGTAATTTAACACCAGGAATAAAATATGCAGTCTGGAATATTTAAATCTTTAGCTTGATTTACCTGTGAACTTGATTCAACATATAAAAATTATGAACATAGTCAACAACTGATCACTACTGATTACAAATATGTCTAAGAAACATTAACTTTTCAATCATTGTCAATACAAAATGATGTACAAAGAATGCCTTTTGACACCAACAATATAAAAAATGTAAAAGACAGCAACCGATTCCATCAGGAAGAACACTTTATGAACCGGAAGGAGGAAAGACAGATCTAAAGCTTGAGTTTCCAAGCTATGCACTGAGGTGCATTGTGGAACCTCGGTGAATTTCCAGGTTCTTCAGGGAATATTTTAAATTTCCAAAATAAACCCAGTGACATCTGTCAGTCACCACTTGAAAACTACTAGCTTAGTGTTACTTTGTGTTACATTCTTATCAACGATGTCATATTTTTGTGAAACAGTTTCAGGGGAGCTACAATAAAAAGCAAATCCAGCCCCAAATCAATATGAACATGGAGTTAGGCTGGCCCTGTTCAGTCAGTCCGATTCCAAGGCTTGAAGAGTTGTGTAATACTCAACGTACACATCTTTAGCACAGTGGTTACTTGAAAATGAAATAAAAGCATGTTTCTTTCAATTTATATACATTATTCTTTCAAATGGCAAGTACTTTGTTAGGCTTGTTCTTACTAATTTGTTTTGAACTAACCACTGAATAAATGAATGTTCAGGTATTTGTTTTGGCCCAAAAGTATCATAAAGTGATTACTGAGACACTAAAGACACCACGAATCTAGAAAGTTGAAGAGTCTCTGCTTTAAGGGATTTAAAGGAGGTAAGAGTGGACACCCTGTGGCAGTTTTAAGCATGGAGAATCAACCTTGTTTTAAAACAGATGACATGTATCGGTCCATGTAAAGTTCTATGAGTAACTTGGTCATTTGATTTATCCTTTTAGACTAATCCTAGAGTCAATTTCTTTTTGAAACTCCTTCCCTGATCCCATCCATTCTCACCCCTCTCCTATCCAACAATGTCATCACAGAATTAGAGGTGACTGTGTAGAAACACATATTTTTTAAATTTTATTTTTATTTCTCAATTACAGTTTACATTCAATATTATTTTGCATTAGTTTCAGGGGTACAGTACAGTGGTTATACAATCATATACTTTACAAAGTTGGACCCCCAATATTTCAAGTACCCACCTAACATCATACATAATTATCAATATTATTGATTATATTCCCTATACAGTACTTTACTTCCCTGTGGCTACTTTGTAATTACCAATTTGTACTTCTTTATCCCTTCACCCTTTTCAGCATGCTTCCTAACACCCCACCCAGCTTGCAACCATCAGTCTGATCTCTGTATCTATGAGTCTGTTTTTATTGTTCGTTTGCTTATTTTGCTCTTTAAAGTCCACATATACGTGAAATCACATGGTATTTGTCTTTCTCTGTCTGACTTGTTTCTCTGATGTTCACTGCAGTGCTATTTACAACAGCCAAGAAATGGAAGCAATCCAACTGCCCATAAATAGACAAGTGGATAAAAAAGTGGTGGTACATACATACAATGGAATATTAGTCATAAAAATGAATGAAATCTTACCGTTTGCAACAACGTGGATGGACCTAGAAGGCATTATGCTAAATGAAACACATATTCTTTCTCTCTCTCTCTTTTTTTTAGAAAAGTAGAAGCTCACTATATTTATACAATTTGATGTTCTGCCTTAAAAAATAGTATGCCAGGTAAATCTCCCTAGGTTAGCTAATTTTCATCAAAACAGCACTTTTTAATGGTGTCATGTCATCTAATTATAATATTTTAAGTAACCTCCCTCTTATTACTGAATTTAGAACATAAGAATGTTTACTACTATAAATAATACTTTGATGGTATATTTACACAATGGAATACTATTTGGCCATGAAAAAGAAGAGAATTTAACCCTTTGCAACAGCATGGGTAGACCTGGAGAATTTTATGCTAAGTGAAATAGGCCAGTTAGAGAAAGAAAAATACCATATAATTTCACTCATTTGTGGAAATTAGGACAAAGACCTCTTAGCATTTCATCATGCTCTACCTTCTATAGGTTTCAAATATGGCATAAATTAGCATCCCCAGACTTTTCATTGTTCTTGAAATTCTCTAATATAAATATAAATTCTCTAATATAAATAAAATGCACACGTTAGCAAAAGGATAAAATATTTTTTTAATTAATCCATCTCCAAAGGATTCTTGGTTTTAAATTTTATGGGTAAGTAAAATTACCTTAATTCTTAAAATTCAGACAGCAAAATTACCTGAATTCTTAAAAACCGTGGGTAGGCATAAGCTGGTAGAAATGTTACAACTTGTTCATAAACTTTTTCCAAGTCTAAAGATTTATTTGGTTTTAAAATAATAGAGGCCATTCCTGCTTTCCCTTCACAATCTGAAAAAAAAAGTTTGAAATAGAGTTTATTTTACAAGTACCAGGTGAATTTTTAAAATGAATTTTTAAAAAAGGGAGACATTAAACTACTGCAGTAAAGACAATGCAATGGTAGGGTAAGAGTGGGTCCTCACCTGAGCGTATAATTAACTCTGTAGAAATAATCTGGGAACAGGGAAGGGCAGAGTCTGTCCCTAACTGCCCACACTACAAAAATAAAACAGCTGGAATGGAAAACACCATAAATGACCCATGATTTGCATCTTACCACCATTAATATAAAATATGAAGAGGAAAAAATTATTTGAAGACAAATACATTCCAGATAAATGTCTATAATAAGCATGCATGTAAAAAAAATAAAGGATATAGTTTTAAGGTCAGAAACCAGAGACCAGTCTTTTCATAACTGAATCCACAGATCATTCGCTGCTTATTATGCCACCTATGGGCCTTCCCAGGGACTGCAACCTCCTGCAGCATTTCTCCAGCACCCTGTGGCTGGCTGTCAGAGGAAACACCCCCTCCCTCTGCTCCCCCATGCACCCTCTCATCCCCACCCCCATGTCCTCAAGCACCTACAAACATTAGCTGGAAAATATTGTCATTAGTAAAAAAAAATAGTGGAGAGGAATCTTGTGATTTCATGTCAGTCACTTTTATTTGCCATTTGTACCATCATGATATAACCCTGCATATTCATAAAGATAAATGAGGCCAAAAATTTTTTAAGTAATTTTTAAATAAGTAATTTTTAAAAGATTCAACTTAACTACAAATTAGTGTTATTAAACTTTTAAACTAGAACATGTTTCTGTTTAGTGGGATATGTAAACTCTAGTCACAAAGAGAAAAATAATATCACTCAAACAAAAATGGGTGTTGTGAAGGGAGCAGAGAAAGTTCTGGCCAAGATGGAGGTGTAGATAGAAACCCTTCACTTCCTTGCACAACCAAAAGGAGGATAACAACCAATTTAAAATCAATAAATAACCAGAAGTGTCAGGAAATCAAACTGCACGGAACTCTAAGAACCAAGGGATTAAAGAAACAGTCAACCAGACCAACCAGACTGATAGTGATAAAATGCAGCAAAGAGGGTTGCCCTGCCCTGGTAAATACCTAAGGCCCTGCCCCCTTATAATGTAACAGGTTCTTGGAGACAAAGAGATATGGCCCAAATGAAAGAACAGCAAAGCTCCAGAAAGAGAGTTAAGCAATAAGGAGATAGCCAACCTATCTGGTGGAGAATTTAAAGCCCTGGTAATCAAGATGCTCACAAACTGATTGAGCTTGGTTGCAAAATGAAAGAACAAATGAAGGCTATGCAAAGTGAAATAAAGCAAAATATTCAGGGAACCAACAGTGACAGGAAGGAAACCAGGACTCAGATCAACAATTTGGAATAAAAGGAAGAAATAAACATTCCACCAGAGAAGAATGAAGAAACAGGAATTCAAAAAAATGAAGAGAGGCTTAGGAACTTCTGGGACAACTTTCAGTGTTCCAATATCTGAATCATAGGGGTGCCAGAAGAAGAACAAGAGCAAGAAATTGAAAACTTATTTGAACAAATGATGAAGGGAAACTTCCCTAATCTGGCAAAGGAAATAGACTTCCAGGAAGCTCAGGAAGCTCAGAGAGTCCCAAAGAAGTTGGACCCAAAGAGGAACACACCAAGGCACATCATCATTTAGTCATCCAAGATTAAAGATAAAGAGAGAATCTTAAAAGCAGTAAGAGGAAAGGAGATAGTTACCTACAAAGGAGTGCCCATATGGCTATTAGCTGATTTCTCAAAAGAGACCTTGCAGGCAAGGAGGGGCTGGAAAGAAGTATTCCAAGTCATGAAAGGCAAGGACCTATATCCAAGATTACCCTATCCAGCAAAGCTATCATTTACATTGGAAAGGAAGATAAAGTACTTCCCAGATAAGGTCAAGTTAAAGGAGTTCATCATCACCAAGCCATTATTATATGAAATGTTAAAGGAACTTATCTAAGAAATTGAAGATCAAAAACTATGAACAGTAAAATGACAACAAACTCACAACTATCAACTGAACCTAAAAAAACCCCCAAAACAACAAAAACAAATTCTAAGCAAACAACTAGAACAGGAACAGAATAAGAGAAATGGACATCACATGGAGGGTTTTCAGTGGGGAGGGGGAGGGGAAGAGGAAGAATGGCAGGGGGAAAAGTACAGGGAATAAGAAGCATAATTGGTAGGCATAAAATAGATGGGGAGAGGTTAAGAATGGTATAGGAAACAGAAGTTAAAGAACTTATATGTACAACCCATGAACATGAACTAAGAGGGGGAATGCTGGAGGGTTGGGAGATGAAGGGCGGAGGGAGGATAAAGGGGGGAAAAATTGGGAAAACTGTTAATAGCAAAATCAATAAAATATGGTTAAAAAAGGGAGCAGATAACATAAGCAACTGCATCTTCACCCCTATTAATGTGATTTCTTTGCTTGGTCTTGTTCAGGATAAGCTCCTTTCACTGTGTAAGTCTCTCCATGACAGTAAATTTTTAATGCAGAAAAAAAAGAAAAATAATAGACTATTGAAAAGCTGTAACTATGGTCAAACAGTGGGTCATTGACCAGAGTTTTTAAACTTTGCTTAAAGATACACACACACATTAAATTTCAATGGGGAAAAAAGTCAACCCTCACTAAAATAAAAAACAAAAATCATTAAAAAATTCAATGGGTACTTTTCCCTTGTAGGGCATTATTTGTCATGACAAGACAAAGATAACTACTGGATATATAAAAACCAAAATGTTGAATTAGTGAGATGATTGCAAACTAAAGAAAAGTTGGCAAGTTCTTTCTGAGAATTCTTCCAAAACCTGAAATATATTCATACCTGGCACAGCCACACCATAGACATTTGATTCTTCTATGAAATCCAACATTCCAATAACATCAGCAACCTCCGTGGTTGCAATGTTTTCCCCTTTCCATCTAAATAAAAAAGAAGTTCCATTTAGCACACCTATGTTCCGAGAATTTGGTTCTGGGCAAGCACCAAGTAACCAGAAATAATGGCAGTTTTCAAAACAAAAGGCATTTTTAGATAAATGATTTATTATGCTATTATTTTTTAAATTTATTTTTTATTATTTATTTTAGGGAGAGGGAGAGAGAGGGAGAAAGAAGGAGGGAAACAGTGATGTCAGAGATAAACACTGATTGGTTGCCTCTAGTACCTGCCCCAGTACCTGACCAGGAACTGGCAACCTTTTGCTTTGCAGGACAGCACCCAACCAAGCCACACCAGCCTGGGCCAAAAGGCACTGTTTAAAGATGCACTTTGTTGATAAGTCAACAAAATCAACAAAATCAATTTTTTTTTAGTTGAAATTACTTTCTTCTTTTTTTTTAGAGTTTATTTATTCATTTTAGAGAGAGGAAAAGGGAAGGGGAAAGAGAGGGAGAGAAACATCAATGTGTGGTTGCCTTTTGCACAGCCCCTGCTGGGGACCTGGCCTGTAACTAAGGCATGTGCCCTGACTGGGAATTGAACTGAAATCCTTTGGTTCACAGGCTGGTACTCAATCTGCTGAGCCACACCAGCCTGGTTTTGCTTTAACCCTACCATTAAGACTCCATGTCTGTCTACTTGTTTGATATCTAAAAAAAAAACAAAACAGAAGCTTACTAATTTGAACCAAATGGAGCCATTAAAATAATTATAAAAATTGACATCAAAATTTAAGTTATGTTTCAACCTAGAGACAGACACAGCCAATGGTTTTTTAAATGGGGACACATGATTGAGATAAACGGCTGTGTCTGCCCTAAAGGTAAAGAGCATGGGGCCCGAAATGTTTCCATAGAGCCCTGCTGTGAGCAGGGTTCCCAATCACTGAAAAGGCAGTGTGACTGAGGATGTCTCGTACCTGAAAGTGTCTCCAATACGGTCCCAAAAATAAAGGAAATCCTCCTGATCTTGGACCATTAAATCTCCTGTGTTAAAGTAAACATCTCCCTTCTTAAAAACATTATGGAGCAATTTCTTTTCCGTGTGCTTCTTACTCCCAGCATAACCAAAGAAGGGATTCTTTTTATTCACTTGAGAAACGAGAAGTCCAGGTTCTCCTGTGAGAGAAAGGCATTCTTCAGTGATCTGATTAAAAAACTATTATACACACCATGCATGTACCTAATTTATATCTGACCGACACAACCAGTGTTGCCTATCTTCCTTTCCTCTGAACTTATTTTTATTATATTTGACATTATTTGCTCTGGGTGCTTAGAGCAAACAAGCACATCCTTTTGTAGATTGCCAAAAATGCAAGTAACTTTGGAAAAACTAACAAAAAGGAAACTGAATGTGAAAAAAGGTACATACATCCTGGGTGGATAGAACAATGGCTACTTTTCTTTTGGATTATGTAGATTTTACCACTGATAATAATGGCAATGATATAAATAACACCATGGCAATAATTTTAATAAGGTTATGATGGTAGTCTTATTCATTGGGCACTTACTAGGTAGCAAGCCCCTTACGCCATTTGTGACTGCCGTCTTGTTTATTCTTCACAGAAATCCTTTGAAATTGATAATTAAAATTCCCGTTTCACAGGGAAGGAACAAGGGCCCAAAACAGTAAAGTCATTTACCAAAATCCAACAGATATAAAGGAATGCACGTTGTACTTAAATTCAAGTCTCAATGATTTTGCAACAAGGTTTTTGTATAATACTATCTCTGGTCTAATTAATATGTTATTGGAAGTTTAGGAAAATGTTTTATTCCTCTGGGATGTTAGCCTGGAAATCCTCAATGGGCAAGAGATGAAACATGAAATTTATTAGTTTTACTTATAGACACATTATCAAAAATAATTTTCAATCACATTTCTTCAAATGAATCAAGATTTTGGACAGCAATCTGCAAGGTGAACAACTATTCTAAGAGAAGGGTAGAAGACAAAGGAGACAGCAGCAATCACTGCTCCAGACAATTTCAAGGCCATTGTTGATTTGCTTCTCCCCTTGTGAAGAGAGTCATCTCCTCTTGATGAGTTAAATGGATTGAATTCCAGTTTGTTTGTTTTTTTAAAACTCTCTATTCAACTCGCAATTACTTCCACTCCTGGACTTTCTGGCTCCAAGGGCACACACTGGAGTAGAGGTCAAAACAAGCCTGGGCTGCTGCAGCAGAGACCACGCACCCTCACGGTCATTGTCAACATCCCCGTCATCATTATCATCATCTTCATTGTACCTATTGAGCACTTTTTGGGTACCAGTCACTATTCGGAGCACTAACATATGTATCCCATCTGATTCTTATCCTAAACCTGTAAGACAGGGCCCTTATATAATCTTTATTTTACAGATAAAAAAACTAAGGAAATAAAAGAAATGTATTTTCCCTGTGGCATACAGCAGCTAATTGTTGGGGGTGGAATTTTTCTTTAACCAGGTCCACCTGACTCCAAAGCCTCCCCTCCATTGCATGTTCCATCAGTCTACACACACTATCACTCAGAATTTCCAAGCCTCACATTTCCTTTAAATTTTATGTTGTTTTTCTTTTTCAGGACACAAGTGACAGTTTCTTCCTGAGAAATCAATTATTGCAAATGCTTAAAAGGTCAGAGTATTTTCTTATCTATTCTTTATAGGCATAATTTATGCAAGACACAATGCTTTAATGGAAAAATAAAATATTTAGTAGTCCATAATGAGAACAGCAAGGTAGGAAGAAGTAGTTCTGGGATTCAAGTTCCAAGATCAGATATTATTGTAATTGTAAAAAAAAAATACTAGCAAAGTGTGTTTAAATGAAATCCTTTGTAATCCCTTTAGAAAAGGCTTTTCTCTTGAGTACTACCTATAAAGTTCAATTAAGGAACGATATTTGATAAATGCCCTTAGGCTTGAGATTCAGAAGACTGGGAAATCTGTTTTTTGATAGGTAAGGTTTATATTTTGTCCAGTGTTTCAGCTGTCAGGAAAAGCAAAACGTAACAAAAACCAGGTTTGCAACCTTTATCTCCACAGCTGAAGTAAAGATTAAAAGGATACCATCTCTGAAATGTAGTTTAAGCATTCTGAGGCACGAAAAAATAATTTTGGCCAGATTTATTCAGACTGGAGTGCTAAATAATTCTAAGTGCACATCTATACATTTAGTTTTCTAGAATAATTATATGCAGTGGCAAGTTAGTTGGAGCACTTGCCTTCATTAAAATTTCTGACCAAAAGTTATAAGAAAGTCTACCTTAGCGGAGGAGGGGGAGTGAGAGGGCAGAGAGAACGGGTGATGGGGGACAAGCCACACACCAGGCCTCCTGCAGGGCTTTGCCTACCAGTGGTGTCCAACCTTTTGGCGTCGCTGGGCCACACATAAATACACAAACACTGATGAAAGCTGATGAGCAAAACAAAGGTTTTAAGTAAATTTACCATTTTGTGTTGGGCTGCATTCATAGCCTTCCTGGGCCACATGCAGCCCACGGGCCACAGGTTGGACACCTCTGCATCATCTCACGTAATTGTCAACAATAATCTCATGAAATAAGTATGTCACTTCCACTCTACCTATGAAGAAAATGAGACTCGAGCAGCTTGGGTGACTTTCCCACAGCAGTACAGTTTCTAAGTGTGCCAGCCCAGATTTAAATTCAAGTCTGCCTGACTTCCCACTACACCTAGAACGTTAAATTAAGTCATTTGTTTTTATGGTGTGTTTTGCTGATATAGGACATTGCACATACGCCACTGTCACAGACCAGAAGTGGTGGATTAAGGAAAATAAGAGCCCAACAGTAATTACTTTTAAATTTTAATAATTTATGATCTGAGAGACTTGGAGTACCCTAACATCTAGTAATTAAATCATTCTGCCTACATTGAAATTCCAAGTAAGTCACATTACATGTTAGAAATATCCACTTTCTTTTCTAAATTTAGTAGTAACTTAAAAGGAAATTCAGAAACCGTGCCTGAGGCGACATCTTCACACAGTATTACCTTTTTGCACGCAGCTGCACCAGCCCTGTTCATTTCTAATGGGTTCATCTTTCTGAAAATCATACTTTATCAAGTCGAAATTGAAAAACACCTGCAAAAACAAAATCAAATGAAAACACGATTTAGTTATTTGTGCAGTGACATCTACTGGTAGATTTTATACTCAATTCAAATGAATTAGAATGTGAATTTATTTAAAGAAGGATCCTTTACTGATGGAAAAACTAAATATTGTGACATCAAAATTGAAGGTATTTAGTTAACAGCACTCATGTACTGGCATTTACTTTCCTTTATGTTGCACATTCCTTAGCAAGACATTACTAATTTTAATGCCGAATGAGGGAACACAAGCAATCCTTGAGCTTGACTACATTTTCTATCAACTATAGGGAAGAGGACCACTTCTTGCCTTCTCCTTTTTGCATTCATTCAAAACATACCTTGAAGTGGAAAGTTTTGATAGAACTAAAATATAAACTATGTGAATGCAAGAATTTTATTGCCTATTTTATTTTTTAAAAGATTTATTATGTATTTTTAGAGAGAGGGGAAGGGAGGGAGAAAGAGAGAAACATCAATGTGTGGTTGCCTCTCACATGGCCCCCACTCGGGACCTGGCCTGCAACCCAGGCCTGTGCCCTGAATGGGAATCAAACTGGCGACCCTTTGGTTCTCAGCCCGTGCTCAATCCCCTGAGCTACACCAGCCAGGGCTATTGCCTATTTTAAATTTACAATCTCTTGAAAAGGGATTAGATGCCTAAAAAGTACTTGTTACCTGACACTGCGACCTTTCCCACAGGCCTTTCACTTAATGTCCCTAATCTAACACTTGGTACTTCTGTGCACTATTGTGGTGGGAGATGGCAGATTTGTTGGAACAGCCTTATCACGCTGGGTACCAAGCTTGTTGGACATCTCTCTTTGTTGCCAAATATTGCCAGCTGCCCTGTTCCTGAAATATCCATTATTGTCCTGTCATGCAGATTCACAGAGTCACTGACATCTGACTCTGGGAAAGAAGACAGATTGATTCAATCCAACCCCCTTATTTTATAGATAAGAAAATTGAGCTTTTCCTGGTCAATTCAGTAAGCAATCTTATTAAGCTAAATTAGAAAATAGTAAACTAAAATGGAGGTAATAAAATGAAGTGAGAAAAAAAATAGTAAGAAAGGACACATAGAGAGAAATAGGAGAAGGGCCAAGGGGACATGAGAAATAAACAACAAATAAGTGGGAAAAGATGAATAAGATTAATAAGATAAATGCAATAGTATTATTTGTTATAAAAGACTAAACACAAATATCTCTGGTTTTTGATCTCAGTAAAATCAGCATACAGCTAGAACCACAATTCATTATTTGAATTAAAATATAAAAGGGAACAACTAATATTGATTGGGCACTTAGAGTATGCCACTGTGCTAAGAGTTTAAGAGCAGTATTTAATTGTCAAGGCACTCTATGAGGTAGAAATTAGTATTATTCTATTTTAAGATGAGGTCCAAGGAAAGAGGTTGCAAAGCAAAATATATTGTTATTCTAGACATAAAAAATCATTATTAAAATGCAAGCCTGCATCTTGTTGGTCTTTGTAATTGGGATAACAGGATATTGGCCACTTGCCTAACGACTGGTAAAAAGAAAGATTCCAGAAGTTCCGGAACTGCATTTATCATTTTGGCCAAACAAGAAGAGAGCCCTGTTCATTATTCAATCTTTTCTCTGCTGTTTTAACATGCCTTATATATTGAGAAATTTGCCCACCAACTGGTGTTATCAGCTTTAGTGTTATTTCTTTTCAATTAATTTGGCAGCCACATGCGTGGGTGATATCCTTTCCACACTAAATCACTGTTCAGTGTGCCTGTTATCAGATACAGGTGACCCGATGGTCAGAAATTGGGTAATTTTATAATACAAATGAAATTTAAATATATCACAGCATCTTCTAGAAGTAACCAGGATCAGAGCAATTAGTCTCAGCCAGAGTGCTTTCTATATTTTTTCCTGCCTTCAAGAAGTTCCACATGATTATAAAAAATGGCTGTTATAACACACACAAAAAACTAGGTGCCACACATTAATATGCCCTCGATGTACACGCACAGGCACATCTTCAGCCTACACCTTCAGTGTACATCCTTTGTTTTTTCTGCCTCAGCATCTCCTTATGGTTCTTTACGTTCAATAATTTCACCAAGATATATTTTTCTGATGATCATTCTGTACCGTATTTCACCCTACCCTCCCACTCTGGAATACAATGTGCTCTTTTGCTAATTATTTAAATCTTCATTTTAAGGAAGTCTTCTCCTGTTAGGTTTCAAATGCTTTTTTAAATCTCTCTGATTTGTTGTTTTTTCCTCCTGCAAAAACACCAATTAAGCATATGTCAGAAGACTGTGTTTGTTTTCCAATTTTATCTTTGAATTTAGTTTTATATTATATGCATATTCTCGTTTGTGTGACCCCTTAGTCCCATCCGTCATGCTCCCTAACGATGTTAATAGTCCTGCTTAAGTCCTTTAGTGGTGATCATCTCTGTAATATTTCCATGTTTTCCTTTTATGAATTTATTTTTCAGAGCTGAGCAGGCATACTTTCCAACTCCTTTTGTTGATTTAGGTTTTCCTTGCACTTTCGTCTTCTTTGAGCTCTTATTTTTAAAGAACATATTATTGCAATTTTTTAACCTACGGGAAATTGTTTTTCTAAGTATTTCCTGGCCATGTTGGAGAACTTACTATTTTGATGTGCATCCATATTTTTTTCAGCCGCTTTTTATTTAGACTTACCCTCCACATACTTTGCAAGTTTTATTTCCCCTGGGGATTTCACATTTGCTCCTTCTCAAAGAGCAAACCTCCAGGTATAGAAAAGAAGGCAAGTCCATAACTTTTACTTGAATTTATTTCTCAAATGAGTTGTCATCAAACTTTTTATACTGCTTGCTTTGGGAGCATATATAGGACACAGAGCCTTACAGTCTCATGCATTTAAATAGTGAGTACAGCACACAAGAAGGACATTTGGGTCATAGGAGCTCTGTTGCTGCCTTATCGTTTTCCTTCACTTACTAAATCCTATCTCTGTTTAGAGCCTGATTCCTTTCTGAGACAGTAAGTGTAAACCTCTGTTAGGTTTAAATTCTTGAGAGACATACTTATCACATCTCCCCATACAATTATGGAACAGTTATTGGCCCAATTTTTTTCTGATCACCTGCTATGGAACAAAAACAATATGTGAATGAAAAGATAAAAGACAAAATTTGTGATATTAGGTATTTTTTCATTTCCAAATAAAAAAAAACTAAAATAATTTGAAAATCAGAAATTTTCTAAATAAATAGGAGACATCAGGCATCCCTACATTATTGTCATTATAATCTGACAGGGAATTTAAGACATCAGAAAACTATAGTAAAGTCAAGACTAATAAAAATACAAATATTCTTTATTATATCACTTTGGGATGATTACTTTGGAATGACGCAGCTTCACTAAAGGAGGTTTTATTTTTTAAAGATTTTATTTATTTATTTTTGGAGAGGGAAGGGAAGGGGAGAGAGAGAGAGAGAGAGAGAGAGAGAGAGAGAGAGAGAGAGAGAGACATCAATGTGCGGTTGCTGGGGGTCATGGCCTGCAACCTAGGCATGTGCCCTGACTGGGAATCGAACCTGCGATGCCTGGTTCGCAGCCCGTGCTCAATCCACTGAGCTACGCCAGCCAGGGCCACTAAAGAAGCTTTTAATATAAATACCAGTTTTTAATGGAATCAGTTCAATGAATTGAGAAAATTAACTGTAAGGAATGTAAAACTCAATAATATAATCACTTACTTTCCCCAAATTACTTTTGTTCAGAATGCAAGTCATTAGGGCAATTTACGCCAGCTTCGAATTTACTTTTTTACTTTTTAAAAGTTACATTTTAGATCTCTTTATTTTTAAATTACAGTGTAAACTCAATATTATTTTGAATTAGTTTCAGTTTACAGCATATTTTTACCTTTTTTGACATTAAATGTTTCCTTACTATTTAAAAAATTTTTGCTTTTTATTATTTCCTTCATTTTATTTCTTTGAGTTTTTTTAAAGAAGATTTTATTTATTTATTTTTAGAGAGGGGAAGAGAAGGAGAGAAACATCAATGTGTGGTTTGCCTACAGGTGGTTGCTACGTGGACATCTAGGTAGCTTAACTTGTTCCTGGCTGCTGCCCATTTCAGGCTCCATCCTGGAATCCATGGGCCATGAGGCTGCTAGGGCCACAAAGTCATGCATTCCTGTACCAGCAAATGCATCACCAGGTTTACGAGGGATAGATAGATAGATAGATAGATAGATAGACAGACAGACAGACAGACAGACAGACATGCTGATTCTACCTCCTGGAGGCCATGGGCCATGCAGTTGCTAAGGCCATATGGCCATGGAAAGAACAGGCAAGTGTACCATCCAAGTAGTGAGCCACGAACAGGAGAGAGTTTCTTTGTTCCCCAGGGACTATATTAGCTTGGGTGTGAAACAGACCCAGTACTTCCTCAAAAATGACCAACCAACTTCACACACTTCCATGTGCTTCAGATAGGTCCACCTCTCAACCAATCCCTTCCTTCCCCAGGTTAGACTGACAGGCCTCTTGGGTCCAGAGCCTCCCCTGCCACCATTTTGATTTCTATGGTGCATATTCCTGTCTTCCCCTGGTCTTGGAGAGACAGGGGAGAAGGGCTTTATGCATGCTCAGTGTAAGAACCTCACTCTGCTGCCACCTTGGCTGGGGACGGGAGGAGACACCCCCACCCCTGCTCTGAATAACCATCCACTGGTAGTAACACTACTATAATTCTGATTTTATTTTCCCTTAAGGTTATATAAATTCTGAGGCAGCTTCTTTATTTTCAATTTTATTCTTTAAAAAATATTATTAAGTACTTATTCTATTTGACAATTATTTTCTCCAAGTCCATTGAAGATAGCTGTCTACCATCTTTTGTCTTCCATGGTTGCTATTGAGACTGCAGCTATAAGTCTTTCTTAAGAAGGTGATTTTTTGGCTGCTTTTAAGATTTTAGTGGTTTCTTGATATAGTTTTTAAATAAACCATGTATTAGAAGCTTAAACATAATTTTTGAATGATATAAAAATGAAAAGTAAATAGAAATAATGGATTAAAAATACTCAAAGAAAATGGAGTCAAATTAATATATATTAGGACCTAGGCTTGCTTTTCACATGTATATCATTAAATTTAAAAACTAAACAAAAGAATTAGGTATTATTATCCCCATATGATAGAAGGAAAACATGGGAGGTTGAGGTTTTCATAACCTATAGAATACAGTTCACCTAGAGGCCGCTACTTTATTTAGAAGTTCTCAACTTAAAAAAAAAAAACGTGATGATATTTACCATAAGGTATAAGCACAAAGCTAGAAGACAGGCTGGCAGGTCTCAAAATATTTTCTTCTTTTGTAAAGAAGAAAATGGTACTTACTTTGTAAAAGAAATTTGTTCTCCCGACTGCTCCAATTTTCCCAGTGTGATTCATAAAACAAATGTTCCCTTCAGTTGCTCCATAAAGCTCACACATCTTAATATTTCCGAATCTGTCTACAAATTCTCTCCATACATCACTCCGCACACCATTTCCAACTGCCAAACGCACCTGATGGTCCTTTTCTCCTTCTCTCTGTCAAAAGAAAAGATTTTACTTGTAATTTATTAAATTCTAGTTCCCAATTCTTTCTTTCATTACTATTACTTAAATGGTAACTATCTAGAAGTTACCTAAGTGTAATAATGAAAAGAAAGTAAAAAAAGAAAAATCATGTAACTCTTACAGAACTGTGTCCACTAGCTAATGAAACTAAAGCGGCCCAGAGTGATACAGCTTTTATTTTGCCATATGTGGGAAAAGCTCTTCCCAAACTCCAGCTTATTGAAACATTATTTTGGTAGAGATAAGGAAAGGAAGAAAGTGCACTTCAGGAAAAAAAAACATTACTTTAAAAATATTATAAAATACACTTGAGTTCGTATTATTAGCTTTACCATTATCTATGTAAGTTTGAATAAGAGGTTGAATAATATCCCAATTCTCAGTTTATTGTTCTGTAAAAACTACTGATAATATCTATCTCATTTATATACCAAAGTATACAATTAAGTTCAGTGCCTAACATATAGTAAACAATAAAATGAGGTCATTTAAACACTGTAACATTTTGCTTGTGAATATTATGGTTATTGTAACTATTATATCTTTCAATGTGCAATGTTCTATTAATTTTACTTCTAGATCATATTTGGAATTAAAAGAAAAGCTAGATCTATGTTTTATTCTGGATTCAATAAGCACTACATTAATTAATATGAATTATACAATGATAAAAAATCATAACCTCACACTTGTTAGAATGACTATCACCAAAATGACAAGAAATAACAAGTGTTACCCTCTTTAGGATGTGGAGAAAATGGCACCCTTGTGCACTGCTGGTAGAATTTCCATAGTGAATTGCAATCACTATGGAAAACAGTGTGGAGTTTTGTCAAAAAATTAAATATATAACTAACAACTGATCCTGAGATTCTACTTCTGGTTACTTTTATTCCACTTTTTTTTATTGTTGTTCAAGTATAGTTTTCTCGATTTTCTCCTGACTGCTCTCCCCCACCCCAAAGACCCTCACCTCCCAACCTCATTCCTACCCTACTTTGGTTTGTCCATGGGTCCTTTATACGTGTTCTTTGAGGACCGTTCCCCTTACTTCTCCCCTTTACCTCCTGCCACCTACCCTTTGGTTACTGTCAGTTTGTTCTTTATTTCATGTCTCCAGTTATTTTTTGCTTGCTTGTTTGCTTTGTTGATTAGGTTCCTCTTATAGCTGAGATCATACGGTATTTGTCTTTCACTGCCTGGCTTACTTCACTTAGCATAATGCTCTTCGGTTCCATCCATGCTGTCTCAAAGGGTAGGAGTTCTTTCTTTCTGCTGCATAGAATTCCATTGTTTAAAGGTACCATAGTTTTTTGATCCACTCATTTACTTATGGGCACTTGGGTTGCTTCCAGTACTTGGCTATTGTAAAGTGTGCTGCTATGAACATTCTGGTGCATAGGTTCTTTGGAATTGGTGTTTCAGGATTCTTAGGATATAATCCCAGCACTGAAAAGGCCAGGTCAAAAGCCAGTTCCATTTTCGTCTTCCTGAGGAAATTCCATACTGTTTCCCACAGTAGTTGTACCAGTCTACATTCCCACCAACAGTGCACTAGGGTTTCCTTTTCTCCACAACCTCACCATCACTTGTTGTTTGTTGATTTGTTTATGATGGCCATTCTGAATGGTGTGCATCTCTCTGATGGCTAGTGATGCTGAGAATCCTTTCATATGTCTCTGGGTCTTCTGTATGTCCTCTTTGGAGAAGTGTCTGTTCAGATCCTTTGCCCATTTTTTAATTGGATTGTTTGTCTTCCTGGAGTGGAGTCATGTGAGTTCTTTATATACTTTGGAGAGAAACACTCAGCAAAGTGGGAGTAGAGGGAGCATACCTCAACATAATAGAGGCCATATATGAGAATACTACAGCCAACATCATACTCAATGGGCAATAACTAAAAGCTTTCCCCCTAAGATCAGGAACAAGGGTGTCCTCTTTCACTGCTTCTATTCAATACAGTATTGGAAGTCCTAGCCAGAGTGATCAGACAAGAAAGAAAAGTACAAGGCATCCAAATTGGAAAGGAGGAAGTAAAACTGTCATTGTTTGCAGGTGACATGATAGTATATCCTATAGACTCCACCAAAAAGCTGCTTGACCTAATAAGTGAATTTGGCAAAACAGCAGGAGACAAAGTCAATATTCAGAAACCGAAGGTATTTTTGTACACCAACAATGAAATATCAGAAACAGAAATCAGGAAAAAATCCCATTTGCTATAGCAACAAGAAAATAAAATACCTAGGAACAAACCTAACCAAGGAGGTAAAAGACCTGTACTCAGAAACTACACAACACTAAAGAAAGAAAGAAATTAAGGAAGAAACAAATAAATGAAAGCATATACCATGTTCATGGTTTGGAAGAATTAACATCATCACAATGTCCATATTACCCAAAGCAATTTATAGAGTCAACACAATCCCTATGAAAATACCAATGACATATTTCACAGATTTACAACAAACATTTAAAACATTTATATAGAATCATATATGACCCTGAATAGCCACAGCAATTTTGAGAAAGAAGAACAAAGTAGGAGGGATCACAATACCTGAAATCAAACTATTCTAAGGCCACTGTAATCAAAACAGCCTGGTACTGGCACAAGAACTGACACATAGACCAATGGAACAGAAGAGAGAGACCAAGTCTCTATGGTCAATTAATATTTGAAAAGGGGGCAGAACCATAAAATGGAGTAAAAAATAGCCTCTTCAACAAATGGTGCTGGGAGACCTGGACAGCTACATGCAAAAAAATGAAACTCAATCACCAGCTTACACCATACACAAAAATAAACTCAAAGGACTTAAATATAAGTTGTGATACCATTATAGTCCTAGAGCAGAACATAGGCAGGAAAATCTCAGATATTCCACACAGCAATATTTTCACCACTATGTCCCCTAGAGTAAGGTACATAAAGGAAAGAATAAACAAATGGGACTTCATCAAAATAAAAAGCTTCTGCATGGCTAAAGAAAACATCAGCAAAATGAAAAGTGAACCAACTGTATGGGAAAATATATTTGCCATTGATATCTCAGACAAGGGTCTGATCTCCAAAATCTACTTCTGGTTATTTGTCTGAGAAAATGAAAGCACTAATTTGAAAAGGCAATGCACCTCTGTGTTCACTGCAGAGACAATGTGTTGACAGCAGGAGGGTACCATTTACCTTGAGAGTATTATTAGACTTCTTTAAACTACTAAAAACTAATTTGCTAAAAAATAAAAATTAAATTAAAAAATAAAATAGGAGACAACTAGACTATGGGTACATTGGAAACAACATTCTGACTTGTTTTAGGCTTAAGCCCAGACAAGGGGGTTAAGATAAATATTTTACAGATAGAGAAAAAAACTCAGTCATATAAGAGCAGCTCCATCCAAGTCAGAGGATTCTTTTCAAACAGTAAATATAACTGAGCTTTGGGCATGTCAAATATTGCCTACCTGGCAGGAACTAGTTCTTGGACCTTCCACTGCTATTTTCCTATATAAAACACTGGTGTTGGCAAATCTTAGGATTCATTCTTCTTGAACACTCTTTAATATGGCATAACTCTTGGATGCTTTTCAGGTCAGAGATAAGTTGTAGCAAGTATTATTATCTATAAAATATGTTGGCATACTCTGAAAACCAGTAAAAAGGAATCTAATGAGCAAACTAATGAATAAAACAGAACCAGAGACATGGAAACAGGGAACAGACTGACAGCTTCCAGAGGAAAGGGGGAGGGGAGAATGGTCAAAAGAGAGGAAGGGACTGGTAAAGAACATGTATGAATGACCCGTGGACATGGACAACGGTATGGGGATGGCCTGTGGGAGTGGGGGATGGGGCAGGATGGAGGAGGGCAAAGGGGAAAAAATGGGGACAACTATAATAGAATAAACACAAATAACAAAAAGAAAAAAAAGGTAAAAAAACTTCCCCAAATATCCAATTTTAATGCAGTTTCAATAAGAATAGCATAGTTTCTGAGGGAAAAAATGGTGGTTTATGAATCACATTCCACAGACTTTAACCTGTGTGGGCTATAACTACACAAGCTTACTAAGAATAAACATTCACCCAAAATAATTTAATTGGTATAGAAAATCAAATTATCAAAACTAATATAAGGCTTTTTGCCAAGAAATATGAAATTCATTTATTTAACTCTCTAGTTATTTTTATTCTATTTTGCTCTCCTTTCAAAGGAAATCCGGAAGATCATGCTTTAAGTTGTATGAGAAAAGATTAACTGATCCATTACTTAGTGTTGTGGAAAAAGAGAATTTATATCTACTCTTATATCAAAAAGTATGCATATGATAGAAAAGTTGGAAAGTAAAAAAAAAGAAATAAAAGTAGGCTGTAATTCTACCACACCAACATTATTATTTTTATATATCCAGTTAAAAAATTGTAACCACACACTATATAGAGCTAAATACTATTCTACTTTATTAATATATATTACATTCTGAACATTGTTCTAAATTATCAGCTCTTATCTTTTAAAACATGATTATACGATTTTCATGTAATGATATCACAATTTATTTACCATCACCTATTTTTGGATAGCCACACTGTTTATAAATGTGTACCCTTATAAATAATGCTGAGTGAGTGTGTTGTTTATAAATCTTGGCATCTCATTAGGATAGACAGATTCCTGGAAGAAGCTAATAGTTGTAAATATTTTTATGACTTTGCTGTGATTATGAAATTGTTGTGTAAAAAGAACATCCTATTTACATAATGCCTCCTCAATGCACTAGAACTAAAGATTTCCATAGGACTGAAGATGGGAGGTGGGGATGGCTGGGGCTGGGGGAAGGGTGGGGGGGGGGAATGGAGACAATTGTACTTGAACAACAATAAAAAAAATACATTGTTGATTTGATAAGAAAATGTGTTGTATTCATTTTTAGATTCAATTTGTTTTTCTTTGATTTTAGATAAGTTG